CTGGGAATGCCTATGAATCTATGATAACGTCCTGTCCACTTACCTACCGAGCTGTGAGGAGCTGAAGAACCACCACACATCACAAGCATTCGCGGGAACGGTGCCGTGCATTAACGAAGATGAGGCTGAGAAACCTGGATCTTGTCTCTCGTCCGTCTCCTTACCAATGCATTGCTCATTCAACCCCGCGTAATCCCGTCCTGTTTTTTTCGACATTATGCGGGTAGGTAACTCTTCACTTTTGTCTTGTCTACCATTCTTCCAGCTTGTCCCTTCTCATGCCTCGTTACAGTGAAGTTGTTGCTCTAACTTCTTGGCTTACTAGCTGCTTTCAAGCGCTGTAACTCGAACCCCATCGTCTGAAGTCAATTCTGAACCCCTCGTGGAGAAACAAATCAGGAACATCTGATCGTAGGCCAAGTACACTGTAACGATAAAAAACAAACTAAGATCCTTCTTTGCATGATTTAACTGCCGATCGCAACTCTGTCAGCACCTTCTTTCGCTTTACCTTAGCTGTCAGGTCTAATTCAGCGCTGTAACATCACCACGGATGGAGCACATGGTGCTTCTCCTTACATTACACTACGGATACTAAAAACAATACGGAAACAAACACAGCCCAAATCGAAGGAGTCACGACATTCATTGCGTCGTTACAGACTCCAGCCCACACCCTCTCGAGTCTGTCTGAGTAGTAGGAAACAAGGTACACGTAGAATTGTCGCAACTGCGTCTACACTATAAGCAACTTGTTGTCCTGGTCCAGCATCACCGATAGGGCCTAGTACACTTGATAGTGGCAATAATATCCAGGGAAAACTCTCGTCCGCTATGTACTTGATACAGCCCGTAGCCCGTCCTCCAACGCAACCACTTAGACCAACAAAACCCCGAAAAAGATGTTCTGCGTCGTCGTCAACTTTCAGGTGGCCAAGTGTGGCTGTGTTCCAGCATGGCAGGGCGGCATCCCGTCCGCCCGCCTGCCCGCCACAGGCAGGCGGACCAAAGCCAAGGCAGTAAAGCCGAGATATATAGAGTGGTAGGCACGGCAGGGTGGCAATCGGACCGGTAGTGGTATGTACGCTGCTGGGCTGCTGGTTGGACGGTGCCTAGCAAGACGGCCGTCCGATCGGTCGTGATGCAGACGTACATACATACATGTACTTGTAACCGCGTGGTGGACTGGTGATGATGGATGATGGTGTGTCACAAAGAAAGGCTCTCAGTTCTGAGTGAGTGCCTGGCGGCGCTCGGCATCTGGTCAACTGGGGTTGGAGCAGTTCAGTTCAATGGAAATCGAAATTGTCCGTGGTCCGTTCATGGGGGAGAAAGGGGCATTGGACATTGGACCCCTGAGCCCTGACTGACGACACCACCCATTAAAACAGAACCAAGCTTGGTCCCAGGTCCCGGGCAAATGGCCTCGTGTAATGCACGTGGATGAACCCCTGAATGATTCGTCAGCCCTCTTTTTCCGTTGCAAAAAAAGGGGGTTTGCCCTCATTGAAAAGGGAGACCGGCTGGAGAAACTCCCATCGGCCATGCAATGCTTTTCCCCTTCCTTTTCACGTTGTTCCTGCCCTCCCCCTCCCCCTCCCGAGCCTATGGATAGACCCGCAATCCCAGTCTCCACTCGGCTTGGTCACTCGATCGGGAGCTCCTTCCGGGTTGTTAACGTTAAGCCGGGGATGGATGGACGGCGTTAAGGTCAACGGTTATTTGATGTTGGAGATAGATTCATGCCCGGAAAACACCACGAGCACGAGGGAACCGTGCCATGTTGCCATTCCACTTCTTCTTCCACACCATTACCGTCTGCTTCGTCTCATCTCTCATCTCATCTTCCTGTTTCCCGTTTGGCCGGTCTCATGTTCCACTTGTCAGGTGCGTTTAACGACTTTCCTGATATCGGAATGAAGATGATGCCAAAGGCAATCGGCGAGGGCGTGAAGTGAAACACGGCACTGATCCACTTTGGTGAAGATCAATTGTTTCAAGCCCGTGACGGGAGAACAATTGGTGGAAATCGTCTCGTTGTGGACTGACTGCTCGGCCACTCTACCGCATAGCGAAGCCAGGGAGCCATTTTTCCGTGAGCAATGTTGTCGTTAACTTTCCCATGTGCCTGGTTGTTGTAGCCCCCTAGAAGTGGTGCATTGTCTGGACGAGCTTTCCACGATGTTTGATTTTCTTGGGTGTTTGAGGCCGCTTTCGTAACAAACAAACGGTGGGAGTTACAGCTGGAAATTTCATTTCATCGTACTAGCGTTATACCAAGTTACCACCTAGCCGTCTGATATCGTAAATAACAGCAATACGTTCCAGGTAACATTCCGTACAGCTTACATGTACACGTATTTCGGCCGACCCTCGGATGCCCGTTGGAATCCACGCAGACCACGGCACCTCGGATGTCGCAGCGCCGGGACCCACAACAGGACAATTTCTTTCTTTCCATTGGCTGGCCTTATACCTGCCTTCCCTCGTAGGGCTGGTTCACGGAAAGTTTTGTTCTTTCGTTCGCTACGTACACACTACTCCGTGTCCGTGACCGGTATCTGGGTCGGGCTATTGTTAGCGGTGAGCTTTGTGGAGATTTTCTTTTATCTGGATGGTATTGTGGTACCCTACAACTCCAGCCTGCTGTTGTGCTCACGATACCACTCTGAATAGTGTTGACAAGAAAGTTGGGAATTTTCAGCGGTGTGTGTGCGCAAAGTACCCAGACGCGCTACACAGTACAGTACTTAAAACGGTGCAAGTACTCGGACCTTACTCAGCACCACCAAAAACCGGGACAGGCCATCGTGGTCCTCGTCGTTCCGTCTCTTAAACAGCACACCCTCGTCACATAGGTCGGACCGGGCGCTAGTTCAAGATGGCTATTTGCTCCGCTGATGGCCACGACGATGGTCGACGACAACACCGGCGGTGATGGAGACAGCCCAAAAAAAAGACGACAGCACACAGATCCCGGACGCCGGACTTGGTTGCCAAGGTTACAAGCTTCGCAAAGCTTGGAACACATAGCAGCAGTGCGGCCGCCCGAGCGAGGCCGATGGGGCTGGAGAAGGAATGTTGAGCATGAGCATTGAGTTAGGACCAGTACACCCATCGTATTGACATTTACAGTATTACCACCATCAAAAGGAATCCCAGAACGGTGCCCGGACCCCAAGATGATTGATCCCTCACGTAGGATCCCTACCTAGCGAGGCCGGGATCGTTGGCATCCGAAGCATGTTGGTTGTCACCCAGAACAGGACTGGCAAGATTGGATGAAGGCATGCATGGATGGGTAAGGGCAAGAATACATACCGGTAACCCAATATTCGAGGGAAAAACGTCTGTCGCGGACTTGCGGCGCCGTCATCATCGGTTGTTGGTCGGTCAGCCTTACAAGGAAGGACAGAACTCTCCGACGGGAAAATACGCCAGGTTTTACCCAGACAGGCTTCAGGCACCCACTCGTCCCATCACAAGTCAGAACTAAAAAGTTCACTGCATCACCTTCATCATGGTTGTCGGTAGGTACGTAGTAAAGTGGTTACCCGGCTGATCGGCCGGCCGCTTAGGACCAACAAACATCTTGTTGCTACGGTCTGTTGGTCAGATCAACCTTCGCTACCTCTACATCTTAATTCCAGTTCACAGCAAAAGCATCCTTTTGATTATAGCACAGAGAGTGAAAGATGGGGTTGTGAAGTTGCATAATGGCACAAGATCAAACCAAACCACTATCGGGAATTCTATTAAATCGGGTGAAGAGCCCCGAACGACGAAACAGCAGCTTACGACGATCTCCATACCTTCTTCAGATTCTCACGATACGTACGTAGCAGAATGCGAGGATAGGAACTGCAATGCTTACTCCCTCTCCCTTGAGTAACTCTACTCTACCTACTCTACTGAGTCTACCCCCACGATCCGAAGTGAACGGATCGACGCTCGCTTAACACAATGCATGATATTTAATGCAATGCAAGAGAAGATTTCTTTTCTCGTCCCTTCGTCCCTTCGCTCTTCACTTTGTGTACTGTACACTACTATATCCTCCAGTCCGGTGACCCCCCGTAAGGTAAAAAAAAAGGGATTTCCCGTCCAGTCTGGTCTCTTTCTTTCTTCGAAGAAGTCCTTCGAGTCCTTCGAGAGAAAAGAGGGGAAAGGAAGGGGAAAGGAGCTCCCCACCTACTTACCTACATCTTGTCCACCCATACACCCTATACATAGAGGTGCGTAGATGGGTGCTACTTACGTACCCGGCGTAAGAAGGAAACCACCCACCTTCTGGCCCAGCCGACAAGGGTAAATCGGAATGTGGGTGACCGAAGCGGGCCAAGCTTGCAAGTGTACGTGTACTTGTAGGTAACATTTAGAACGGGGAAGAAAGAAGTGAAAATTTCTATGTCATGTCGGCGGCCTCCTAGGTAGGTAGGTAGCAACTAGGTAGGGGATCCAATGGACGGGATGTGGTGGATGAATTATATGTATGGCGTGATGGAATCATTGCCTTGTCAAACGGTCGTCAAGAACAGTACCTAGGTGATAACGGTGAGACCTAATTCTAAACGGTGCATGTTAGACTCGCTAGTAGGTAATCAGAGACTGCGGTGGTGCTTGGGTGGGATATGTACTGCGTCGGCGGTCGGGTTACCAAATTGGGAGATATCCGGGTTTTCGATGCGATGATACTTGTTCCTGTCTTAGCCTGGTGTTTTCCACGAGATTCTGTTGAGATGAACTATCGACGTGATCGAGACCTACCAGCTCAGCGAATCACTTGCTCGTTCACATCTTGCCCGTTGATGCGAGGAAGAGGTCTGTGTTCAGAGTCTATGCACACAGTATGGCTGTACCGGACTCTGTATCTTCAACTAAAGCCGATTTTGATGGCATTTAAAGCAAACAAAACTCTAATATGGCTTCGTCAATAGATATTCTTTTATTAAAAAAAAAAAAAAAAACAGACAGCAACGCTTGAGAACTCGAGGAGGAGCTTATTCTTCCAATCCCTCGCCCATATCCTCATCATCATCCTCATCACCCTCTCCTTCACCATCTTCCTCCTCCTCATCATCACTCGACCCCGAGCCCTCACTCTCACCATCACTACCCGGGTCATAATCCTCTTCCTCCTCGTCCTCCTCATCCTGTAACCTCTGCTCCTCTTCTTTCTGTGCCCTCTCCAGCTCTGTCAGCCCATCATCAGCACCCTCACCGTCCGCACCTCCTCCCTCAACGCCATCTTCACCGGCAGCAGCCCTCTTCGCGTTCTCCGCCAACTGCTTCTTCGCCTTCCTCTGCTCCGCCATGCTCCGATCCGCCAGCCCGTGTCTCCTCACATAACTCTGGTCGATCATCGCATAATCCTCCTGGTCCAGCATGCTGAACTCAATCTCCTGCCCTCCTCCCTCGTCCTCTTTCCCTGTCGCTTCCAACTCCACAACGATATTGAAAGTCCTCTGCAAAACACTCGTGTAACTGACCGCCACAATCTTCTCCAGCGGCAAGAAAAGCAACGGCTTCTTGAACCCCCACAGGATGCCTGTCGGCAGGAAAAACAGAAACCCGTCCTTGCTGCCGCGGAATGCCTTGACGTGCACCGCCTTCTCCTGCGGGCGGTACGCCTGGCGCGCGACCGAGTGGAACACCTTCGGGTCTGATGAGACCAGCTCGCATGCGTGGTTGCCGGCGGCGCGCAAAGAGGTGGTCAAGGCCCAGTGGAAGAGCGTTGCGTAACTGTCGGAGACGGGGGCGGCGGCGGCAGCTGAGGGACCCGCAATGGTGCCTGGCTTGGGCGCGGTGGAGGGGATGGTGAAGACAAGCGGCTCGAGCGGCGTCGTGGCTTGTTGGGTTTGCTGGTCGGCGGGGGGTTGAGACTTGGTTGTGGAAAGGTAGCTGCTGCGCGGGAGGAGGACGTAGCTGTGTTGGACTTGGGATTTCTCGGGGACGGGGAGGTAGAAGGCGTGTTCTGTTTCCCGTACATGTGTCAGCTAAAACGTCATTCTTTATTGGGTTGCGTGGGAATATTACGAACCAAGGTCTTTCCATGGATACACGATGCCTTGTACAGGCACCGGAGAGCCTGAAGCGCGAGCGTAGAGAAAGTTCTTGGTAAAGCACAAGTCGTATTTCTTGCGCTGGGGCACCGAGATAGAAATGTCCTTGATCTCTAGGAGTACTGGCTCGGCGGCGGCGGCGTCTGCACCGAGCACTGCCGCTTGTGAGCCCGCGATCGGGTGGGTTGCGCCATTGGAACCGCTTGTTTGTGCTTCGACACGTCTCCTCTTCGTGGCTGGCTCTTCGGATGTGTTGTTCGCTATCCTCTCGTACACAAATGATGCGATGTTGTTGAAAAGATCGATGCGCGCGGGAGAGTCTAGAGCAGACAAGGTACCATCCGGGTTAGCCAACAGACACTGACAAAGGAATTGTACGAAGAAACGATCGCAGACCGCCGGCTACAAGTCCGAACGGGTCGCGAGAAAGAAAAACACACCAGCAGCTTCTTTGATGCCTTTCAAAATGTCGGGTCGGCTCTGAAAGACGAGTCCCAGCGTCTGGGAGTCGAGCTTGGCTGCCATGGCAGCGGTTATGCAAGGTGACTGGGTGTGGAAAGGTCCAATCGAGGATGTCGTAAATTGCGCAAAGTTCGACGGCTTGAATATGCGAAGCTCTGCGGATGTGACGATGCAATGGCGAAAATAAGTTGTGTAGGATTCTGGAATTCGGGTTGGCGTTCGTCACGTCAGCTTTTGACGCGTAAATGACTTGCTCTCTTCCCTGTAGGCGGGTGTTACTTCAGCCGCTACAAGGGTTAGGGTACACTGATTGAATTATCATATGTATGATGTCAATATTCCCCGGATCCTAACCGGCGAGGCTTGGGGACAATCAGCTGTTCACATGCCAAAAGAGATGCTTTTGAATTGTATAACCTAATGTTCATGCCCAACAGTATAGCACATCCTTAATCCCATGCTACAAGTTGCCAGTATGTCAAAACCCATACACCCATAACGCATCATATGTCCCAGTCGTAGCTATTGTACATCGTAAAAAAGCAGCATCTTATTCGGCTACGTGCAAAACTCCATTAGATCCCTCATACACGTCATATCCAGACTGCCCTGGTTCAACATTTAGGCAAGCATGGACTTGAGAACCTGGATCTGCTCCAAGACGCAAGCCTTGCTGGTGCCGCCCTTGGCAGAGCGCATCTCGACGCTCTTCTCATAGTCGAACACCTTGGAAATATCCTCCTCGAAGCGGGCATCGATACCCTTGAGCTGCTCATACGAGAGCTTGTCCATGGGAATACCGGTCTGCTCCGAGAGGGCAACGCAGCGGCCAGAGATGTGGTGAGTCTCGCGGAAAGGAACACCCTTGCGGACGAGGTAGTCAGCAAGGTCAGTGGCGAGCATGAAGGGGTCAAGGGACTCCTTCATCTTCTCGGGCTGAATGCTGAGGGTTGCTAAGACACCGTTGGCAATCTGGATGCTGTCGGAAACAGTCTTGACGTGGTCGAGCATGGGCTCCCAGGACTCCTGGAGATCCTTGTTGTAAGTGCTGGGAATGCCCTTCTGGGTCATCATGAAGCCAGCCATGTGACCGAAAGCTCTTCCGGCCTTGCCCCTGAGCAGCTCGAGACTGTCGGGGTTCTTCTTCTGGGGCATAAGCGAGCTGCCGGTAGAGTAGGCATCCGCCAGCCTGACGAAACCGAACTCGCTAGTAGAGTAGATGATGAGATCCTCGGACCAGCGAGAGATGTGCTGCATCAACATAGCGCCCCACTGGAGGGTCTCGGCAACAAAGTCACGATCGGCGACAGCGCCCATGGAGTTCCAGAGGAGGCCGTCGAAGCCAAGCTCCTTGGACATCATCTCACGGTCAATGCCGAAGGGGTTACCGGCGAGCGCACCGCAACCAAGGGCGCTGCGGTTGACGCGCTTGATAACCTCGCGCAGACGCTCGAGATCGCTAGCGAAAGCGAAACCGTACGAGAGCATCCAGTGACTCCAACGGACGGGCTGGGCACGCTGCAAATGGGTGTATCCGGGCATGATGACATCGATCTCCTGCTCGGCGCGGGCAGCAGTGACGCTCAAGAAGTCCTGAAGGTGCTTCTCGATCTTGCGGAGCTCGTCGCGGAGCCACATGCGCATATCGGTAGCGACCTGCTCGTTGCGGGAGCGACCGGTGTGAAGCTTGCCAGCAACATCTTTTCCGATGATCTCGCCGAGACGACGCTCGTTGGCAGTATGGATATCCTCATCGACACCGGGGACGATCTTGAAGGTACCCTCCTCCCACTCCTTCTTGACAGCCAGGAGACCCTGCTCCAGCTTGCTGAACTCGTCCTGGGTGATGATGCCGGCCTTGGCGTTGGCGCGTGCAAAGGCAATGCTGCCGGTGATGTCCTGGGCGAAGAGGGCACGGTCGAAGTGGATGGACTCGTTGTACTGGACCATGAGGGGGTCGAGGCCGCCTGCGAGCGAAGGTTAGCTTATGAACCTCCACCATCACGTCGTGTCCGCCCAATGCGATCAGAACAGCTCCATAGAGCTAGTGCTTAGTAGGACCCAGATCGAGAACGAGAAGAAAGGAGAGCTGTCGAGGCATACCGGTAAAGCGACCTCCCCAGAGCATGTTCTCGGTGGGCTTGGCCTGTCCGCTCATGGTTGCGCGACTTTGGACGAAATTTGGCTGTCAATTGGGATGAGGTCGGTGGGTACGAGCTTGCCGTAGCTTGGAAGCCGAGTTGACGCTATGCAATGTGGAAGGGGAGATGTGAGTTTGACAGATGCAGGAGAAGGATGGAGAAAAAAGAGAGCAACAAAACAAACACACAAAAAAGTTTTGTCCACAGCCAGGTACCTCGGGTTTGTACCCGCCGAATATCACAGGATGACTCAATTGCGCAGCGTCGGCACTGTAGCGGGGAGCTCTTTCACTGGACCGGGACCTTCCGACAGCGACAACGCCCACTGAAGCTCCCGCATCAGCCCTACGGCGCGAGGCACAGGGGCCACGGCAACGGCCTAGCGCGCTTGAAAGCTTCCCCGCGGTGGAGCAGGAGAGCTGTGGGTGACTCCACTCAGCTCCAGTCACAGTGGAGGCGCGGGGATTGGAGCTCTATCTTCTGACGGATACACATCTAACCCTAACCCCTTCCCAGCCTAAGCCCCTGTTGAGTGCCTTGTTGACAAGTGACGGTTCAGCTGAGATGGTTCCTTGGCTGGAAGTTGAACCCCGCGTCACTATCAGCCGTCCATGTCAACTGTCTAGGTTATTGCCTCAACACGAGGGCAACAGCCATCATTATTATCTGTTTCTAGCAAGTAAAAATGGCGACCATATCATTTCCAAACCTTTACACACACCGCAAGGTGGCTGAGACCAAGGCGAAGTCATGCGATATCTGCTACCGGCTCACCAGCAGCGTCCTCATCACCCCGGACAACAAGGATTTCTTTTACATATGTCCAAGCCATCTCAAGGAACCAGCACTCTGCACGCCGAAGATTGATACCGAAGCTATTGAGGCTCGGAAGAAAAAGGAACTAGAAGAAGAGATTGAGAGGGTGAAGAAGGAGTACGAGGAGAAGCAGAAGAAAAGGAAGGAGGAGAAGGAGAAAGGGAAAGAAAGTGAGAAGGACAAGGACAAGAAAGATGACGAAAAGAACAAGGACAAAGATGAAAAGAAGGATGAGAAAGATCAGGAAAAGTCAAAGGGTTCTAGGGTTTGTACACCATACAGCCTCCTACCATCAGCCAATGTGTCTTGCCGTCTCATACTTACTGGGTGACACTATCGCAGAGCACAAGTAGAGAAGGGACCAAATCGCCTCCTGTGGAAGAAGAACCAAGGATATTTGAACTCAAGCCGTTCGTCGTTTCCTCTCTCAACATAAACTCCCTACTATATTTCACTGACCCGCTCATCACAGTACCTTCTACCAACAACGCCTGTTGAAGAAGAGGCAGGCTGAGGTTGCAAAGCGCAACCGCGAAAGACTGCGAGATCCAACTTTCTTCCCCTCGGTCCCCAAGAACCTTCCATGATCACGTCCTCTCATTGCTACATTTGTTTCAGGTACGGGGCCCCTGAATCGCCAAGTCATGAATCATCTTGTTGACAATGGCTGTTCAAACAGGCAGATATCCTTTGTCGATAGCCTTTGGCCCTTGTTCTTGAGTTGCTTTCCAGTGAAGCATCAAGCAAGCAGCAGAAGCACCAAAGTTACAAGTTACCAATTACAGAGTCATATCCCAGATGAACCATACAGAAAGATTACATTACGTTACAACGAACAGAAAGGGTCCGTTTTCGGGACAAGAAACAACAAAGTCCATCCTGCCGTTCAACGTACAGTGAAGTCCAAGTTCACCACGCTCACTACATTACACTAAACCTGTCTCGCAAGATTGAACTCAATCAAGCTAGCCGGATCAGCCCTGTGATGGATGACAGGCATGGAATGATAAATAACCCAGCGGTGTCTGTTATGGGTTGTACAGCGATTCACAATCCCATACTCGGAAATCTTTGTCACCAATGTATGACCACCCTGGGCCACCAACCGAAGCATCTTACCACTGGTTTTAGACGACCAGTCAGTTTCGGCTCCATTCTCACCACTGTATTCTGCCTCAGCCTGCATACAACCGTCGTCTACACCCAGCGGCACTAACATACCCTCCATGAGCTTGCCGATCCCCCGCTTGCAATAACAGGCCGGGGACGGGTACAGATAAAGACGACCTTACTTCCCGTCTCTACATGTCCTATTCCCATGATTTGTCCTTCTCCAGTGGACTGTGGACAATGGACTGTGCTGTGCCGTCGCGAGGCATGGAAAAGCAACTCTTGGCTCTCATCTGATTGCCGTTCACTCAGTGTATGGTTCGTTCGGTTTCCCGCTGCGCCGCTTTATTGCAGTTGCTGACAGACATGAAGCGTTCTTACATGCGTAACGGGGTCAAGTCAATCCTTTCCCGTCCGTAGATCGCGGTGGCAGGGTCACGGGTGGTATTGGAGCGGCACCGATTCGGGAAGCTGCCCGCTGTCGAGCCCGTTGGCTATCTTTGGGTACAATCCGGTAGCTGGCTGGCACTTCGGCTGGGAAGGGGTAGAAGGGAAGCCAGTGAGCGCAGTGAACCAGACATGTTCTGGCTCGAGTCTGGTTGGATAGGACCAGCGAGATGAAGATAGGGAAGACGACTGATCCAGAGGTTGGGCCATCTCCTTCATGCCAGCTGCTTGACAGTCTCCCACTGATTCGTGTGCGTAGGCTCCTTATCGTGTCGTATTACCCACACTTTGAGATATTGGCTGTCCGAATTCCCTCGGAGTCACTCAGTTTGACGGCCGATGAATGATGTGATCGTCATGGAAGCGAGAGAATGTTAACCTAAGAGCGCCATCTCATCCGTCAGCCATTTATACAGTCGCTACGATAACCGAGTTCGGCCAGCGGCAGCTTCCACTTCATCTCGAAGCAGTCACAGCTTCGCGGCCGTCTTCACGGTTGCAGAACTAGTGCTTACATTTTTTTGTTATAAGGCTGGCTGATGATATGATGATATGATACCACAGGGGACAAGGCGGACAGTCATACATACAACCACGAACAACGGGTGTACCAAAGAGGCCCTTGTCTGTATTTGCAACAGGTTTATTACCGAAAAGCCATATCATGGAAACAGTGCGTACCGGCTTTTACGGAGAGCGGACTGATGCATGTAAGATTACAGTACACTCCGTTGCTGCCATAAGGTCTTCGGGTAATCACCGAAGCGACCGCACTGGAAGCCGGGACGGAAATCAAGTCGAAGTGGAAAACGGATGGAAGCCGTCTACTGAGAAAGGAGAAGGGTGAGATGTATGGTAGGATCTCCGTTTCCTGTTCGTCTTACCCTTTCCAAAGGAAAGGACGTTTTGTAACCGGGCTCATGCGTACCTACCTGTTGATCCGTGTTGTTCAGGAAAAAGCGACACATACCTTCTCAGTTCATGGCAGGGCAGCTACGACTGATATAGCCGCAGCCGGTAAGTGGAAGCCACACGTCAATCTCTCACTCACCTCCACCGCGTATTGAATCAGACACTCAACATAAATATCATCTTAACTCAGCTTCTCCAGCCCCAAAGGCGGCTTCAACGCGCAGCTAGACCTCCATTTACACTTCAGTTTCACCCATCACATTAAGGAATGCTCCTGTTAACTTGTCTTTGCTCGCAGGTCATAGAACAGCTCGCGATGGACCGGACGATCAATAATCTCACAACAGGCGCGAAGTTGCTCAAGCCTACCCGGGATCGACTCCATGGTACTTAAGGTCTGTGTTTGGGAGCTACAGTCATCACATCACCGCGGGGTGGATGACGCAGTCGTCGAACCGGTCGCTACCTTTGTCGATTTGGTCCCTCCCTAGGAGCAGTGGTGCGTTCGAACCTTCCTTCGGGCGGCTTTGGGTAAATTCTTTTGCATTTTTTGCCCCTTTTTTTCACCCTCTCATTTTTCGACTACGTCTCGTACGTAGTAAGCTCTGCCCTCGCCCATCCGTCCATTAATTAGTATACCTGCACTTCTTATTCCTTCACCTACTGCTTGTATTCTTCGTCTCCTCCTTCTCAACTCCAGTCGCTGCAGGCTGGAAAGAGCCCTGGTTTTTGACACTCACATGAGCCATCCTGTAAGCCGTCATAATAAAATGGACAAAGAACGCGGGAAGCTCTCACTCCCGGCTCAACAAATATTGCCGGTAGCAGTGAGGGGTTGACGACTATTCATCCGGGGCCTCCTCCATTGAATGTTACTTCGTGTCAACAAAACCCCTGTGCTCCCATCATATCGAGGTTGGAAGTTCTCAAAGACTTGACTACTCTTGTTTCTTTGGAAAAGCGAATCCATATTCATCGCCAAACACCAAAGTCATCAAAATGACTTCTCATCCGGAATTCGACGAGCAGACAACAGGCACCGAGGTCGCAAGTGTTTTTGCTGATCAGATTCGAGGAAGGACGAGTAAGGAAATTCACACCCCCCAAATTGTTAATGGCATCTTCGAAGCTGACGACCACTCGCCAGTTCTCGTCACGGGTGTCAGCCCCAAAGGAATCGGGGCTGCCACAGCCTTTGCCTGTGCATCGCAAGCGCCAGACCTCCTGATCCTCGCATCACGCACCAAATCCAAGCTCGAAGCTGTTGGGGACCAAATCCGCAAGAAGTTTCCCGACACGAGAGTGGAACTGGTTACCATGGATCTCAGTTCGCAACAATCCATCCGTCAAGCAGTGACAGAAATTACCAGCCTGACCTCCAAACTCGACATCTTGGTCAACAATGCCGCTATCAACGCCACCACTCGCCAGACCACACCCGAAGGTCTCGAGATGACTTTCGGTACCAACCACATTGGCACATTCCTCTTCACCAACCTGCTCCTGCCGCTGCTGCGAAACGCGGCCAAGGCTAACGACCCATCATCACCGAGTGCAACACGCATCGTCAGTCTTGCCAGTGCCGGGCATAGGTTATCTCCCATCCGATTCAGCGATTACAACTTCGAGCCGAAACAGGTTCCGCCCGAGGAGGATTATCTCAAGCCTTTGCCTGGTTCCTTTGCCAGGTGTACCGCGGATGGATATAATGGCATGGTCACGTATGGGCAGTCGAAGACGGCTAATATCCTGTTTACGATGTACTTGCAGAGACATTTGGCTGGGCAGGGAATTGGGGCTTATACGCTTCATCCTGGAAGTATGTCCACCAGCTACAACACCCAACTCATAAATCTACAAGCTACTACGACTTGTTACTAACCATCATTGTCTTTTATACAGCTATTGACACGGAACTGGGCAGAGACCAAGACGCCGAGATTAAAGAACAGTTCAACAAGATGGGATTGTTTTGGAAGTCCCAAGACCAGGGCTGCTCGACGACTCTAGTCGCGGCGCTGGATCCGGCATTGAGTGGTAAGTTTTCGATTTGTTGTCCAGATTTGGAATGAGGTGGGCGAAGCGCATTTGTTAACCACAGATTGACATGGCACAGAAACCAAAGGATTATATCTGGATAACTGTCAGATCTCGGACCCATGCGAGCATGCCAAAGACGAAATGGCCGCGGAAAGACTGTGGAAGCTCAGTGAGGAGATTGTTGGGGAGAAGTTCAGTCTTGATGCCTAGGAGTTGGCAGGTAAGCGCCGGTCAAGATGGTGCAACCTCGAGCTAAAGCCACCAGTACTCAAAATACGGATGTTTTGTCACTCCGCAGCCAAGAGAAACAGCTTGCCGGGAGCTCTAATGGGGAGAATATGGTGGTTTTGGACAGCTGGAGGACAGCAATCACACCACCAATGGTGGAGTCTTCTCCTCTTCCCCGAATATATAGGTATGGAAGTCTGTGCGTGAAAGAAACCAGTTCACGGTGACGTGAGGGTAGTAGTAGTGCCTGCGTCATCTTCTGGTCACCAGGCATTCGTCATCAAGCTCAACTATGGATACTCCCTTTATTGACCGTTGATTTGGACTCTCACTCAGCTGTTTTTAAGAGCAGCACGAGAGAACAACTCATGATCATGACAGTTTGATTTCGACGATAATCCCCAGCTTTTGTCCGAACATTGGTCAGTGACCCGATTTCTTCCTGTTGATTGGACTGGGAAGATACCGATATCCCCAGAAGCTTGTGCATTTTCCACGAGACCTACAGCCTTCACCGCATCACGGAACTGCTGTTCTATTTTCACCCAGAGCCATTCGACATCGCCACTTGCCAGCAGATATCTATCCCTTTGAAAGACGGTACATCCACGCCAGCCACGTTTCCTCGAAACAACAAAAATCGTCAGCATACCCATCGAAACCATCACCAACTCTGTATAAACCGCCGAAACACGATCATCACACAATCGTCGGTCGAGAACCATCCCACACCCATCATGGCCGGTCAACAAAAGCTCAACGGCGCCTACGCCTTCCCCGCCTCGTCAACAAAATCCGCCGGTTCAAGTGCCGACGTCGTTCCTGAAAACCTCTACCACACGACCCTGACGGTAATCGACTACCACGCCATGACCTGCGGCGCCATCAACTGCCTGCACGTCCTAGCCACTCACACCACCTCACACGCCGCCAAGGCCTTTGCCTACCACGACGCCCTGCGATCTCTCAATTACCAACCCTCCGACTTTGAAATCTACGCCACCCGCGAGAGCATTGACATGCCACAAGCAGCAACAGCGTCATCATCATCAACAACAACAACAACAACAACAACAACAGCAGCACCAAAGCCAACAACAGCAGCAGGGAGAGCAAAAGTTGCCGAAAGCTCCGGAGCGTACGAGAGTGGTTACACCACCGACACGTGCGCTTCCGACACCGACACGGGCGGCGGCGGCGGTCCTCCCATCTGGCCCTACGGCGACGAAGTCCTGGCGTACGCCAAAGCGCCCGCCGGCCAGGAATTCCTGATCGGAGTCGTCGAGACGCCCAACACGGAGCATTTGGCGTCTGGGGGCCCCGTGTACGGGAACACCCCCTTACTACCGCACCACCACCACAAGTCCAAGTCCAAATCGCACATCAAATCGGCTTCCTCGTCCCCCATGTCGCCCATGTCGCCCAAATCCGAATCAGTACCACTCGGCTACGCAAGATCAATTGAGAAAGATGAAGACCAGGAGGAATCAAACTCAGAAGACGAAGAAGAAGAAGAACTCTCCTACGTAATCCAGACCAAAACCGACTACAACCAAGCCCTTGGCGGAGGAGGACAGCCGCAACCCACCACGGCGCGCCCGCGCCGCCGGTCCTCCATCACGCGGCTGTTCCAGGTCTGCGAGATCGAGGGCTGTTTCCCGCATAAGTCGGAGGCCATCGACTTTGCGCGGCACTGGCTCAGCAGCAAGAAGAACTCGGGCATGTTTGTGCAGTACGACGAGCGGGACATGACGCCGCGGTCCGTCGCCGCCCAAAAGGAGGAAGAAGAAGATGAGAACGATGGACATCAATGGCCATTTGGAGAAGACGTGCTTGTGCATGCCGTAGCTGCGACGGGGGAGAATTACTGTGTGGCGGTCAGGACGGCCGAGGGGGCTAGGGAGAGGTTTGGGAAGAAGAAGATTGTGGCTAGAGAGGGAAGCGGGGGGAGGAAGGGGAGCGAGGAGGGATGGGTGAGGAGTTATTATGAGGATAGTCCCAAGATTGAGACGTGAGAAAGTGGTCGGTTCAAAGATGAAGGTGTCGTCATAGATAGAAATCAGGAAGGAAAGTGCAAAGAAAATGTGATGGATGGATCAATGCGGATTGGAGGGAATGGCGATAGATGTAGGGACATGTTGGACACTGGACACTGGCTGCCCCTGGACGAAGGAAAAAGAGAGGTTAATGGTGGTGGAAAAGAAGGAAACAAAAAGACGTGGTTGTAATGGGACATTTGGGATTTACCTACTGTGTACGCTGTTTGATCGATCCTGGGGTTTGAACTGTGGGTTTGTTGTTTCTTCCAAGGGAGTTCTCGTGCCTACCTACCTCTAAATCAGGGGGCAGGGGGGTATAGGAAGCGATGATTGAGGTTGGTGGTTGGATGGTTTTGTGACGTTACGGATCGGGGAAAGCCGAGAATGGCACAACACGACCGTTGGGTTTGGGTTTGTCTTCCAGCAATGCGAAACACGCCGATTTTGGTTGGTTGCATTATGACGTTTGACTTGATTGCCAACACCATCGATCGCTCTTTTTCTGGATTGCTTCTGAGTGAAACTAAGGTTGTTGGGGGCGCCAAACAATCTCGTGTTTCGGCTATTTTGGTCTTTTGCTGTCATAAAGCAGCTAGCTGAGAACTATTAAACGCCACAAAATTGGCAGAAACCTGAGATGACGGATAGTGGTATGTATGCCCTACCCAACCCACAACGCCTTGACATCCCACTCGAAGTTTGCGTAAGAAGTTCGTGACTGAAAATAGTCCTAGTACTTGGATTCAGCTATCGTGGAGCACCGCACCTATTGAACAAAGACAGGCGCAACTTCGGTGCATTCGTTCCCTCCTCCCAAAATTCCCAATCTAATGCTCGTGTTATTGTCCTTTCTTTGAAGACTCCTTCCCGCAAACAGAGCGAGAGCAGCCTTTCCCGCAAACATCCGACTGGACCAACCAGCCCAATTTCCAACATGAATACGACGCGTCCGAAAAAAAAAGGGAAAAAAAGGGAAAAAAAAGTGAAAAAAAAGTGAAAAAAAAAAAGCCTCCGTTTTGCGCCATTCCCGTGCATCCCGCGCTTCTCTCTCATCTAAAAGGGGTATATACCATTGAAAAGCAAAAAGTCCGAACAACCGACCAACCAACAAACCAACTAACAGACCGAAAATGATTCGGACGAACAAAGGAACAAACACAGCCCTCCCCAAAAAGACCCAAGATCTGAGCTCGTGTCCGAATTCACAAGTTCCTGGTAGCCCGAATTTTCCGATTTCTGAAGAAAATCAATCAAGCATGCAAAAGATGTCTCCAACTCCACTTCCTCCTGGTCCTGCAAGATGATGACGAAGACCTATTATGTCTATTAGAGACATCTTCGCAGGCCAAGAAATCTTCGATACGGTGCTTGATGTCGCTAGGGAGGTTGTCGATGCTGTCGTTGAGTAAGTCTAGACATACTCGTGACGCTACATAGAAACAACGGTGTTAGTTCATCTATCATCTCAAAAAAAAAAGTTTGGTGTTTTTAACCGGTAAACATACGGACAGAAGCGTTCTGCTCGCCCATCTCAATCGCAAGTTGCATCCGTGTCGAGTTGTAGCAGCCAAAGGTGCGTTGAATGGCAAGCATGCGCCGCCAGAGCAGCTGGGTGTCGATGTTGTTGTAGTCTCTCATCATGTTTTCTTCGATGCTGGATCGCAAGGAGGAGGATCGTGTGCTGCGTAGTGAGCTGAAGGAGGACGATCTGGAGAGTGATGGTCGGTGGTCGTCTTTGTCTAGACTAGATTTGATTTCGATTTCGATGGGGCACGGAGTTATGGCGTCGTCCTCGGTGTAACTTGGTTGAGCGCGGATGTTTCGAAGAAAAGTCTTTTGGCGGCGAGTTCTAAGGGAGCTGCTGGGTAGGTCTGACATGACTTGAAATGAATCGAGCTACGTCGAGATGAAGCTGGCGATGAGTTGTGTTGAAATTGTGGACGAGAATCCCTGGTTGATGTAGAAACTGGATGTTTCAATGTCGACGACACAATTGGTTGGTCGGTTGGTTGGATCGGCAGTTGGTGTTAGTCGTGCGGCTGGAGCCGTTGTTGACGTTGGATGTGATTATTTTTGGGGAGGTGGAGGCGATCTATCCGCCTTTGACACGACGAGCTGAGTGCGTAGATGGCTTGGGTGACGAAAACTGGTGACAAAGAGAGAAAATGGGGAAGACGAGATAACAGGGCCGAAAACGAGGAGGGGCCAAAGAGACCTTTTATGAACCAACCCGGGGAGATAAGAAAGAGAAAAAACAAAAGTTTGTCGTGAGAGTTTGCGTGAAAGTCCGAGACTCCATGGACAGACAGGGGGGGTGCTCAAACTGAAGATGCTGTCACCTTGTCACTTCTTGTCCACTGGGTCTGGATCGGCGTTAGGGATCTTGAAAAAAGACAAACGTAAGAGCCTGATCTCCAATGGGTCCCTGAGGCGGCGATGCTAGCTTTTTACTCATGCCGCCTCGATGATCCCATCACCCTCCAGCGAGGAGCGGAGGTGGGTGGGCACGCTCGGTACGGTGGTAGGGCGCGTGGTCCGGATGGTCAAGTTGTCAAGGTGACGCCAAGGACATAAAATACGCGGCGGATGTTGGCATCGATGCTTGTTTGGCGCATCTTGTAGGCCGCTCTACCTTACCTAATTCCTCTGTGACTTGTGTCATGTAAATGGAATCATGAACCCAACTGTGCCGACCACAACCGGCGCTTTTTCTAACAGTGACTGGGTGTTTACGAGGATGGAAAAGGCCACCCCCTTTCAACTTGGAACTTTCTCATCGTTTTGCTCTTTTTGGGTTACCTTCGCCCTGTTTGGACAGCGATCAAACCGTAAAACCTTTTCTTTTCTTAGTGTACTTTTGCTTTTGCTTACCTCACAAACAGGGGGCAATCAGGGATCCTACTGACCAATAGGAGCGACCGGTTGCGGCATCGATCAATGACCCTCACCACCACAAACCATCGACAACCTTTCCCTCGCTTCCCTCGCTTTTTCCTCGCTTTATCATCACTATTTATCAGCAGGGGTGTAGAGTACCTAGAGCACATCACGCCGCCCTACACTGCCGTTATCGCTGTGATGTCCATCCATTCTCACGACTGCAAAAGCCAATCATCTGCCTGGACGAGTGCCGACCCGCGAGCGATTCATGGCAACGGTGACGTTTGTTTTGCTGCAAACTCTGATGGCGTGTTGCTCCCATGACACAGGTTAGTGTCTTGACCGCCCATCATGTTCATCCTGAGAAAGATGATATCGCATGATTGATTTTCTGGTCTGGCACAATACATACATGCGCTGATGGATGCGTGGACGTTGTTGACGACGACAGGGATGGATGGCGGAGCGGGGCATCTACCATACCACCCATGGACCGAACAAGCACTGAATGGCGGCATCATCTATCCCATCTCTGTTCGCCCGCTTCGTTTCCGGCCGGGATGTTTTTGTCCAGGGCGTGCAGATCTTGACCTGTGAGAGTTCAAGCTTTGTGTTGTTGCAGTCGGAAAAGCTTCGGAGCTTGAATTTTTCTCGGTGAAGACTCGTAACAAGTCACCCTGCTGATTAAAGATTTTCCCGTCCCACCCACTCCGAAATGGCAATGTTAGTGTATATTCTCTGTTTAACCTGGCAAGTGGCGGCACTATCCGTTTGAAAGCCACAAAGAGCTCTCTCACAGCCAAAATGGAAGGGGAGGAAGGGCTCAATGTTCACAATTCAAAGCCCAACTGAACATCATGTCGGGCAATAACCGCAACTGGTTCATCGTGGAGAGTAAAAAGATGGTTGTGATGTTGACCCATAATCAAAAGTGCTCGGCACTTGGAGCGGGTCAGTTGTTAGGGCTGTAACTATGCTGCATTTCATGGCATCATGTGCCCCCTCCATTACCCTGAAGCCGTCGGTCTATCAATCACTGAGGTGACTCCAACCCCACGCCCCATGCCAAGAGTCCAAGACATTCTCTGTACAAGAATTCCCCGAACGCCAAACACCACTATCATACGCACTGGTTCACAGTTCAAGTTGAGGACAGCCTTTAGACTTTTATAAGTGTGAGAATGAAATGTGCATCTCAATCAACAGGCCAGAATATCAAAGGTCAATATGGCATTGCAATTAGGCGTTGTGTTTGGGTTGTTATGGTCGTGTAAGTGGTCTGATTTCCCCATTTTCTGTACTCCACCCGGTTCCCAAACTTCTCCTCCGCATCAGGCATGCATGTGAATGATCTGAAAGCGGGGAGTTCAACCCATCATGCCGGAAACATTATCTGCAGCGTGCACATCAGATATGGCGGAGTATTCCAAACTCCGTTTGATCCTGGTACGTACCTACCTTTTCATCGACGGCAGCGAGCTCCAATCGCCAAAATGACAAAATGCCCGCCTTGCCCAAAACTCGGAATGCCCTCATGCCGGCCGCCTCATACACCTGTCTACACCCCAACCCTCTCCAAAAACGCAACCACCTTCTCGCCCACAACATCATATGCCTCCTCCGGCAAATAATGCCCTCTCCCGCCTTCAACACCCACAACCTCCAATTCCACCCCTTCCCCAACCCACCTATCCTTCTCCTTCTCCTTTCCTAGCCCGGCCGTCACGGTCCCCTTCCAAACCCCCTCCACATCCAACCCCCCTCCCTGCCCCAACTTCTCCCTCGAGAACATAACCAAAGTCTTCACCTGCACCCTCCTCCCCCTCCTCAAATCCTCCCTCTGCTCCTCCACCTCTTTTGTACTACCAGCTTTATAATCCTCACAAGTCCACCTTACCACCTTCTCCCTTTCAAAAAGCTGCACATGCACCTCCATCGCTTCGTCACTTGTGATGCGCAGTTGAGAATCGTCCGCGCTGCCGGCTAACCGCAAGTGAGCGCCGCGCACCCAGTTGGCTACGCCAAAGGACTGGATCATGGGCACGGCGAGGTCGACGTTTGCTAGCAAGGGCCAGTGGAAGTAGGATTGGGAAGTTGCGGGAGAGGAGAAATGGTCCCATTGGGATTTGGTGGGGAGGATGTCGAGCATTATCACGCCGGTGACGGAGAGGTTGAGGTCTGTGAAATAGTTGCTGTTGTTGTTTGAGGAGTCGGAAGGGGAGGAGGAGGAGGCGGTGGCGTCGACGGCGAGACGGTGGCAGATGCGGGCGCCGCGGTCGTGGCCGGCTAGGATGATCTTTCGGGGTGATGATGACGAGGATGACGAGGTACCAAAAACTTGGGCAAGAGCATCCAGCAAGGCCCGGCCGACGGCCCGCTTGGTGTGTTCGCCTGTGCCGGCGGAGATGGGCGTGCTGATGCCGTAACCGGGAAGTTCGGGGATGAAGAGGGAGACTTTGGACTGGAGGAGGGGGACGAGGTGGCGCCAGCTGTGTGAGCATATTAGCTACCTACTACATTTGCAAGGTACGGTACCGAAAAAAAGCCATTGTGAAGATTGATAAGAATGGTCACATCACATCATATCAAGGCTCATTCATGGTAGGTGAAGATTGCCCAGTGACTTACATGAATGCAGATTGAGGATATCCGTGAATCAGAGTCAGGATGGGATTGCCGTTGCCCAGGTCAGAGGTATAGCTGACCACTTCCGAGCCGGAAGCAGTGGGCGTCACGTTCCGCTGGAGAGCGGGGAAGAAGTTGCGGGCTTCGACAGGTTCGGTCATTGCTGATTGTTGACGATTGGCTTATAGTTGATGATGCTATATCATGAGTCCACCGTATTTGAATTGATGGTGAGATGGCTTCTTATATAATAGCAAGCGTGAGCCGTCAGCAATACTTCGAAGGTGGTGGTAGTGGTGGTGATTGGTAAGATTTGTTGAGGTCGAGAGGGGAACCTCGGCTTAGGTAGTATTTCATCACTGAAGCCGTACTGTGTAGATCTTAATGGCGGGTAGGTAGCCAAGGCTTACATCACCAGCTTCACCGTAATCGGCCTTCCTATGTCAACACCCACATAGTAGATTCTCCAGGTCCTCACGAGGTTCTTTGTCAGTTATCAACCTCCACGATGTTCATTCCCCAGATTTCCATTAAACACCACTCGGTCAAACATACACAAGTCCACCATCCAAACCCCCTTTCGGACCACCTCACTTCTTCCCAAACACAAACCACTTCTTCTCAACCGTATCAAAAGTCTGATTTCTCGTCTCCGTCTTTCCCCTCTGCAAACTTCCAAACTCCACCGGCTTCCCATCCACACTAGCAACATTGTTCTCTCCATACCTCGCCAATCGATTCTCCCCATCTCTAACCGTAAAGTTGGCCAGACTGACCTCGAACCCGTTCCTGCTTCGAATATCCGGGCTGCCAAAGAAGCTCGCATTCACCCCTTCATACCCAATGCTCAACTCATAGTAGCCCCTGTAGTACAGATCCGTCCACTGCAACTCCTTATTCACACTCGTCAGGAGTTTCGTGTTGGCCTCGGTCTTCTTCATCGTCGTGTTCTGTCCAAGAGGAGAAGGCGAGGTGACGGCGCTGCCGGCGAACTCAACGCCGATCGATCCGCGGCCCGTGATGGGGTCGTATTCTTCTTGTCCCGTAGGGCCATCGAGCCAGACGAGATCGGACACCCAGCTGGCGTGCGAGTCGCCGGCCAGCATGATGTTGTTGGTGATGTTGTTCTCGTACAAGGTCGCGAAGGTGCGGTTGCGGTTGGCCACGTAGCCGTCCCAGGCGTCGTAGTTGAAGGGGAGGTCCATGTCGTTGCTGACGATCAGCTGGCTGAAGACGGCCTGGTTGCCGATGAGCCGCCACTTGGTGCCGCGCTTGGAGGATTGTTTCAGGGTGCGGTAGAACCAGGCTTCTTGCCGGGGGCCCATCAGGGAGCGGGAGGTGTCGTTGGAGATGGCTTTGATGTATTCGACGTTCTGGAGGGCAGAGCCATGAAAGTCAGTCGGGTTGAGAAGGAAGATAGATTCGACAGGGCGGGGGAAGAGAATGGCTTACAGAGTAGAGATCGGTGATGGACCGGTCATATTGACGTGTGTCCAACATGATGAGGTCGAATAGGTCGCCGAACTTGAAATCTCTCCAGATGCGCAGATTGTCGTCCATGTCTACCTGACGGATGGGCATCCATTCGAAATAAGCTCGGACGGCGTTGGCCTTACGGCTGTCTGTCGATACACCGCCGTCACGGATAAAAGAGTCCTCGGTATTTGAGAGGAAGCCGCTTCCATCACGCCAAGTATTGTCCGACACCTGCGATTCGTAGCCGTTGTTAGCAAGCTGTGATCTCAAGCAGTGGAGCAATGAATGACACTGACATACCTCATGATCATCCCAGACTTGAATCCAAGGAAACTGCTGGTGGTTGGCAACCAAGTCCAAGTCAGTACGGTAAGTCGCAATTCTCCTTCGGTAGTCGTAGAGGCTGGTCAACGTCAATATAACCCAACGACGATGATGATGGATGAAGGGCAACACACGTAAAGATCAATCGGTCCGGCTGCGGGACGCGGCCGAGAGCATCACCCCAGCCATATTGGCCATTCTTATACTCGTAGATGTAATCGCCCAAAAAGACAATGAAGTCTACCGAGTCCTTTCTCACTGTATTTCCAAACACGTTGAAGAAACCGTGGGCTGAACGAACAGCATTTAGCCAAAATTACCAAACGAACCAGCCAGTAGAGGTAGACTTACGATAGTTGCTGCACGAATACACAGCAAGTTTGATATCCGAGGGAACTTTCTTGCCCCGTGCCGGGAGTGTCTTTGTCCGACCAACAGGCGAGCTCTTATCCGAGTCGCAAATGTTGAACTGGTAGTAGTACGTGGTGAACGGGTAAAGTCTCTTTGCCTCGACCTGTTGAATTTCGTTAGCATCGCGTCCAGTCTGTGGCATGCATTCCCAATTTCTTCTCACCTTGACAGTAAAGTCAATATCTGAACTTGTCCAGACACGTCCCTCATCCGCAACTTTCTCGAATTCCTCATCCACGGCAATCTTCCAGTCGACGCAAACTGTGGCCTTGCTCAGTTTTACAAACTCTTCGGTTTCATGGCTGAATAGCCCTGTGGTTCCGCTGACTGTGGTGTTGGAGTGATCGTTGTCCATCTGCGGTGCCGCTCGGGTCCAAAGAATAACGCTGTCATCGTACGGGTCTCCGGAAGCAACGCCATGCGTGAAGTTGAGCTGCTCCGGCTTCCATGGTGAACTCTGATACGTCCGTGCCGCAACCTTGGGAATCGAAATTCCCAGTGATGGGTGATGAAGTGATGGCGAGAAGTAGTTGATATTGCCCGCGTAGAAGGCCGAGGCCCCTGTAGCGAACAAAATAACGCCTGTCGTCCGCTTCATTGTTGTTGCTCGGGAAGGAGCGTGAAGTGGCGCTCGTACTTGGAAAGAGAAAGGCCATGTCCAGTGAATGACAGCAAGGATTGTCCTGTTTATACTTGTTCTCCTCACACAAGCTTTGAACGTGTTAGTGCCAATGCCTAGGCAAAAGCTCGCAACCGGTTAGCAAACTTCTATGCAGGATCTACTGCTACAGTCAAACTCGAGGGGTTGGATCACATACCTTATCGGTACCTTATTGGTCAATTCGAGGGCAACCCTCGGCCAAGGGTACATCGCCTGGGAGCGAGCCTCGTTGCCAAGCAAAAATGATGCTTACCTACCTGAATGGGTGAAAGATCAAAGACATTTCGAAGTTCGTTAACAGGGGCATTTTGACGGATGCGGCTATGCACGGTCCGGTGATCGAGTGAGCAGCAGATAACTTTGCGGGGTAACATCAGGACCAACAATACCGTCACGGGCCAAAACCACTGACGCTTTGCGATTCACAGGCAATAGTAAGCGAGCCTCCACGTTCTTTGACATAATGCATATATTGAGGGTTAATGAAAAAACTACTTCCCGTAGCTGATATTCCCTAAGCATACACCCGTCGAACCATCGCAACGACGGCGTTATTTGTGAACCTTATTTCTCTCCAGAATACCTCCCAGATGATGTCCCATACATGAGCTAGATCGCCCTTCATCTTTTGTACCACAAAGGTGAGTATGTGGAGCAGTTATCGATTGCTCCTAAAGGCTTGAAGTTGCAGTGAGCATTGCTGTCGTGCTTATCTGCCAGTGGTTTCCTTGTGGGCATGCTCCTCAAAGCCCGCCTTCTCCTCCGACGATAGAGTATCGTTGTGCTCCTGCTTGAGCGTAAGGTTGCGGGTGTTTCTCGTCTTCCAAGCGGGCGTGCCGATGTACTTGATGGCTGTGAAAATGAGGTTAGGTTAACGCTTGACCAACAACATACAGATTTTTATATAGAGAGTAATTACTTACCTCCGGGCTTGGTGTCGTCAAAAATTTCCTCGACCTCCTCAAGGGGCTTGTTGGCGGTCTCAGGGAACATGAAAAAGACGTGGATGAACATGGCCGCGCAAAAGGTAGCGAAGATGGCATAGGTTTTCCAGGTAATGTTAGCAAAAGCAGGAGGAACGAAGTAAGCAAGGGCAAAGTTGAAAGCCCAGTTGGCGGAGGTGCAGAGGGCAACGGCCTTTCCGCGGAGACGAAGCGGGTACAGCTCCGGGGGGTAGGTCCATGAAACAGGACCCCAGGTGGGCGCGAAAGATGCGACGAAGAGATAGGTTGAAGCAATGATGGCTTTGGCTGGGGCGCCAGTAATAGCCATGGATTCGGCCGGAGAAGTGAACTCGCCAGGGCGGGCAGGTCGTGAGTAGACAGCAAACAAGCCGGCATTGACACAGAGCCAGAGGCACATGAAGAATGCACCAACCAGGAGGGTCGGACGACGGCCCCAGCGATCCATCCAAAGAAGAGCCGGTATCGTCATGACGACGTTAATGACGAACTGGATACCGCTAGGGAGAAGGACGGCATTCTCACTTCCATCGGCAAGACCGGCCATTGTGAAGACGTAGGTTATGTAGTACATCTGCTTGTGGTTAGCAACAATTATCGCGAGACCGGAAGCAGGACACGAAGACTTACCATCACATTCATACCAGTTAGCTGAGACCATATCTGAGTGAAAACGCCAATTGAGGTCCGGTTAATCATGTTGGGCTTGAGTAGCTCGAAGTAGCTGACATCAGCATTGGCGCGCTCAAACTCGACCATCTGGCGAATCTCTTGCATCTCACGGTGCACCCACGGAGAGTTGGGATCTCCTTTTCCGTGAACCAGGGTGAGCACCTCCTTTGCCTCGTCCCATCTGTCCTTCTTGCAAAGCCAGCGGGGCGACTCAGGGAGGAAGATAAGGCCGAGGAAAAGGAGGGCGGCAGGAATGGCCTGAAGACCCCAAGGAACTCTGAAGGCGGCCGTCCTCATGAACGAGCAACCATAGCAGATGAAGAACATGATCAGAATGCCCCAGGTAATAGCCCATTGCTGGAAGCCGACAAGGCGACCACGCTTCGAAGGAAGGGCGAGCTCGGAGATGTAAACAGGGACTTGGGCAGAGCATATTCCGACCGAAAATCCGTTGATGATGCGCCCAACAACCAACATGGGAATGTTGACCGAGGCGCAGACGACGATCGAACCAATAATCCTGCACAGAAGCGTTAGCTCCTTGGTTCTTGCGAGGGAGTGAGTTGGAACCACGTACCAAATCACAGAACCTATCTGAATAGAGCGTTTGCGACCGAAAGTATCGGAGACAAAACCAGAGCAGAGAGCACCGAGCCACGATCCACCAGGCATGGCGGCTGTGATACCACCTTGGACATCGTTGGTAGGACCGATGCACAGGTTCTTTTCGTTACGGCCAAGCTGATTGAACTGGCAGAGGTACGGCTGTGTCGAGATGATAGCTGACATGGAAGAAATATCGAAGCCAAATAGCGCGCCGCCTGTGATACCCTAGATGTTAGCTTGGACTCCAACCTCAGGGAGGGGATTAGTGGGGGAATGGTAGCGTGGACGGACTCACCGATGACGGCGACGGCGGCAATGAAGTATATATTGCCGATTTTGTACATCGTGTCGCGGGTTGGCCCAAGGCAAGGTCCAAAATCGTGTGTAGAATTCGGCGCTATGGAGGCATAAACCACGAGGGTCGAGGACGTAGGCGGTGATCGAAGTAGGTGTAAAGCTGCTAATGATGCTTTGTGGGCGTGTTTGTAGGAGTTGTTTTGGCAACCAAAAGGGGAGTGTCCCAAAAACAGAGGCGAAGGATAGGTATGGAGTGAAAGTCAGGATTGACTTGCGGTAGAAAAAAGGTGGAAGTGGGAGAGAAGGAAAAGCAAATTTGGAGGAGCTTTAAATGAAGAAGCCGCCTCGAATTCCACTTCCACGCTTCACTTGTTTCCGTCTTTCGTTTGCAGGGTCTACCTGAACTTGATGTCCGCTGCCCGTACGGAGTTCCAACCAAGTAAGGGGGCAGGTGAAGGGCGGGCAGGAGACGTGTGGAGGTGGGTTGCTTCAAAACTGGAAGGAACCAGACAGGATGACTCTGTCCCTCTCGGGCATTTACTGCTCCCGCCTGGTGGGTCTGTTGTTCAATGTTTCCCGAGAAGCGGCACTGCAACGGGGAAGGAGCGAGGCTGTGAGCGTCGATGTTGTTGACCGGGCAGATATATATACCTTAGATACCTAGCGCCTACCGTGTCCGGTAACTCGGGGCTCGGACCTCAGTGCCGCTGTACAACGGACATGAAGGGCAAGAGAAAAAAAGAAATGCAGGTATTATAAATAAACACCACGGGTGCTGCTCTCACAAGAGCAGAAAGGCGGAGAATTCGAGAAACTGAGTTGCACGCTGAGGGAAGTATTCTAGCAGCTTTAACTAATCCAGATGGTCCGGATATGGTGGGTCTCAAGACGACCACAACTGCACTACCCTTTCTCGTGATTGAGTTGGAGGGTAGGGGCTTCCTTTGACATCCGGAGCTCTGCCACCTGGCACTCTGCTGCAGCTCACTTCACCTGATGGCAGGTAGTCAGTCTCGGGCATCGACCCAACGGCTCGACCACTACCGGATGCTGCATTACAGCCGATCGTGACCGAAGAAGGAACTTAGGGGAGGCATAACCGTTCAACATATATTAAATGCAGTAGGGGTGCATCAATCCCCATGACCATGGAAGGGAAGGGACATCCCAAGCGTTGTAGAAACCATTGGATCTCATCAACTCTCCAGCCTCGTGTTAAACAGACCAACTTCGAGTCTGGCGGCAATCATTCACTTGGGATGAGCTTGTCTCAAACAGCAAGGACCTTCCATGCCATAACTTCCGCACTTTCAATTCCTCCGTTTTTTTTTCTCGCTCTACACTCGTGGTGAGAAGAACCTCGACAGCTCACGCTTGTGATTTGTCTTCCATATTATGGTGTTAGGCAGCTTGTTCTGCAAGGGGAAGGCTGTTTCGGCACTCTGCAGCGCAGGTATTCACAACTTCTAGATTGGCATGGATGGGTTGACCAGCTCAGAGACTACCAGGTTCCCCAGAGCGGCTCAAGCCATCCAAGCCATGCCTTGTCATCCCCATGGGGTTCTCACCAACCGAACCGAATATTAGTGCTGGTCCACTGCCTGGTTCTGCCCCGAACTCCCGTTTCCCGTAACAGCTGCGGTTCCTTCATTGCTACCACATCGCACTACCCAAGCTGCGGTCGGTTGACCTGATGCAGAAGACAGAAGCATCTTTCCAAGTGGCCGGATATGGTTGGTTTCACTTGAACACCTGACCCAACACCCAATGTTAATTTTACCGATGGTGTATTTCGGAGGACGGAAGGTAGAGACCTGGAAAGGAAGTTGGTGTTAGGAGGTTCAAAAGTCTTTCGTCTCAGACGAGATGTATAGCCCAAGCTTTGCGGTTGAAATAAATATGCATCCCTTCTGGCAACGGTTGATGCCTTTTGTTCCTCCACAATGTACCCCGGATTCGCGCTTGCAACGAAGAGGCATCCCGGCGTGGGGGATCCCACAACACGGGACTATATATCATAGAGGTACTCGGACTTCTAGTCTCGTTCGAGAAGAAGCCAAGATCACGGGCCGCTGTCAGTACGTGGTTGTTAAAGGAAAGGAAGTCCAGAACAATTGACCATCAGCTGATGATGACTGCCCCAGAAAACGAAACGAAACATATAAGAGTCGAGAACATAAGATGCCAAGAAAGCTTAATCGTAGGGGTCCTTGTGTGACGTCATAGCTCCGCCAAAGGAAATGTTGTGCCCTCCTCCTCGGACTTCTTTTCAGCGTCCAGATGCCTCAAGTTTGAAGGTGCCCATCCGCAAGCGAGACCACAAACCGAGATTAACCATCTGAATGTGCGAGCTGAAAACGAAAGGGCCGAATCAGACAACCAAACAACCAACGACCTGCAACATCATAAAGCTATTGCGTAAACAAGCGCAGCATATGGCCGTTTCTGGGTGTCGTGGATGGTGAATTCTGACGGCAGGGTAGTAATCCCGATGCCACACAACTTGATCCTTTCAGCAAGGCTGCTCTGTCTTTGGGGTCGACAGCATATCCAAGCCACCCAAGTCAACCGACTAGTATGGTACAAGGTACGTTACAGTAGTTGATCCTTTGACGAAGTGGTCGTGAAGAAGGCGGGCTTGGGATTTCGTTGGTTGACTCGAAGGTTCGGTCGAGGTAACGTCAAAGTCGCGAGTGATCCGCCAACCCCGGGTTTTGATGTGCCGAACCAGAGGACACACTGTTGCTCTTCCATGCCAACAATCCAACGGTAATATCGCTGACGGGGAAGGTGATGCACCTACCTACCATACATCCTCCCCCTCACTCGTCTAGGCTTGCACCAAGACAAGTTTCACAACGTTTATTCCTCGGATTGGTCGGTCCTTTGTATCCTCTTCCTTCTGGCCGCGGCGAACTCTGTGTGCACCGTTGTACCCCATAATTTCTGCATATAAAACTTTATGCTTGCACCCGCGCCCGTGAGTTTCGAAACGGCACCGATTTGCTGCCTTACGAGGTGCGACTCGTTCGGACACACTCGTCTGTTTGACAAAGCTCGCTCTCGGGGGTACCCAGTCTTAGGGCTTGGAATTGGGGGTAGCTGATGGAAGTCTGGCGGTGTGTAAGGCCCTATAACTGAGGGTGGACGACGCCATGGTGTTCAGTCGTACTTCGTATTAGTGACGGGAGCATCTTTACCTGTAGAAGGCTGTTCTTCCGTGAGAACTTCAAGCTTTTAGCACACCCCATCTCTCCGGTTTTGATGCGCTGGTGTGGCTGCGACCGAGCGCTTTACTCGAGACATGGGCTTCGAAGTAAGTCTGAAAGGGTAGCTGGGTGTAAAAAAACCTAGAATAGGTGGCAATATTCTGCAGCTGCGGAAACAGGGTGGTGGTGTCGGCGATTAATGTCATGAAAGCGATGCGAAGCAAGTGTGGTGTTGACGTTGTACAGGGGAAGGAGGGGCTGGTTATGGCAGTTGCGAACAGGCCATCCTGGGTTGCGTTTTGGCCAACGACATGATACAAGATAAGGGTCCTACGCACCCGTTTAGGTAGGCTCTTCTAATATTTTTTGTAGCACACTAATGGTCTGCCTAAAAGACAGGCTGCAGCTCGTCACATGGTTTCGCTCCCGGCGACCCTTGTTCGAGCTTGCGCAGTCGCGTCTCTCAATTGCCCATGTGACAACTAATGATCCTCCGACGCGTCTGCCTAGGTCCGATCGCTTTCCCTCGTCTGCCAACATCACAGCTTCTTGGACGATCATTCTCTTCAAACCAATGTGCCATGGCACCAACAAAACGTCCTGCAGCGGAAGGCGACCGGTCTATATCTCCGCCCTTGAAGCGAAAAGCCCAAACCGCCATCTCCAGTTCGTCCGATTGTCATCCCGCCACCGTACAGCGCATGCACTAACAGTTCTCGCGCACAGAGAGCGCAGTCGCAAGCTTCTTCACCCCACATCCCAGAAACCAAAGGACCGAACAACCTGGACTGAGAGAAGTCCCGATGCCGACGGGCCTGCCACCCTTCTCGTGGCCAAGTATGTCCCGGAACAAGCACCGGCGGCGAGCGATGAAGCAGGGAAATCAACGATCAAGAGAAGGAAGATTGCTGCGTTTGATCTTGTAGGGCACCCTTTCCCGCAACAAATCTTGGACCACCGCAAATTCTGATTGATTTCGACAGGACTCGACTTTGATCACCTCCGCCTCCGGCAAGAAACACTCCCACGACGCAGCCGACTGGAAATGGTGGCACCACTCGGTTCCCGATCGGTTACGGAAGCTTTACAATGAAGAAGGGTACTACACCCCCCAATTTCCTATCGATTTTCACCAACGGGACAACGTGCTAACGTGCTAGTTACAAATCTTAGTTACCAAGTCATAATCTTCACCAACCAAGGCGGCCTTGTTCTCCACGCCGATCCCAAAGCCAAAACTCCCAAAAGCAAACTCGACCGCGTGCCCCAATTCAAGCAGAAATGCTCCGCCGCTCTCTCCCAGCTCGACATCCCCACGACCCTCTACGCCGCCACAGGCAAGGACATCTTCCGCAAGCCGCGGCCGGGGATGTGGAACGAGATGAAAGCCGACTACAACTTCGTCAGTGACTCCAACGACAGCATAGACCTAGAGAACAGTATCTTCGTCGGCGACGCAGGCGGTCGACAGTCGGAACTTGTTGCAACAGGAACAACAACAGCCACAGCCACAGCTACAGCAAAAGGAACAGGAAAAGGAAAAGGTGGCGGCGGCGCAACTGCCACTCCCAAAGACTTCAGCTGCTCAGACCGCAACCTCGCTCACAACGTGGGAATCAAGTACCAAACGCCTGAGGAGTTCTTTCTGGGGGAGGAGCCGAGGAATTTTACCCGGGACTTTGATCTGGTCAAATACCCTCCCGCAGAAGAGGAAGGAACAAACGAAGTTCTCTTCACCAAGCTCTCCCCCCAAGAACTGATCCTCTTCGTCGGCCCTCCCGGCGCGGGCAAGTCGACCTTCTACTGGCGACACCTGAAGCCGCTAGGTTACGAGCGGGTCAACCAGGACGTGTTAAAGTCGAAAGACAAGTGCTTCAAGGCCGCAGCCGAGTATCTGAAGGAGGGCGACTCGGTGGTGGTGGATAACACCAACCCTGATCCGGATACACGCAAGCAGTGGGTTGAGCTGGCGCAGAAACAGGGGGTGCCGGTGCGGTGTGTCTGGTTCCGGACGCCGTTGGTGGTTTGTGAGCATAATGATGCTGTGAGGAGCTTGAATAAACCGGTTAGTTCTTCCTCGTCCTCGTCTCTGTTTCATTTCATGTTCCTTTTCATTCTTGTTTCCCCCGTTCTCCTTTCCTACTTTTGGTTCTATCTCTACTTCTAGAAGCTCCGTCTACTGCAAGAAGCATGTCTAGTCTTTGCTCAAAAGAGGGAGTCAGTCGCTAACATCTCCCCCGCCGATCATAGCTTAACCCCGAGTCCCGAACGTCACTCCCCAAGCTAGCCTTCAACGGCTTCAACGCCCGGTTCAAGGAGCCCAAGGCCAAAGAAGGCTTTCAGGACGTTACCGAGGTGGACTTCAAGTTCAGAGGAACCAAGGAGGAATATGAAATATGGGGAAAGTATTGGATTTAGGATATTTTGTTGCGCACGTTCATATTGGAATACCCGCCCGAAATTTCTATACCTCGTTTTGATATCGATCGGCTTTTTCATACTTGCTTCGTCGCTTGCCTAATAGTATTTCCCCACCATCCAGCCAACATCTTGATCTTCGGTCTCTTGTTCGGCCAAGCCTCTTCTTTGTTTTTCATCATGCCAAGGCATGTCTGGAATTGAATTTGATGACGTGGCTACCTTCGGTCTCGCCCAGTTTATCATGATTTACCCGTCTTCTTCCCTTTCGTGCCCCTCCCTCCTTCATCTGTCGCCATTGGAAAGAAGAAAGAGAAAAACCTGTACGTCTCCCGCCATGTTTGTGTGAAAAGCCAAACCCCCCTTAGTCCTCGTATGATCGTGTCAGGCGTGTTGCTAACGCCCAGTTTTCCCTTCTTTTTGTTGATGTCATGTCATACCCCCCTGGCCCTTCGTTCCTTTGTTTCCCTCTCTCCCTTCGTGTTACATTAAAAAATTTGAGTCATAAAAGTCGTTCGGTCGTTTGCACATTCGTTCATTTGTCCCGTGTCCTTGCGGTCCATCCCTTCCCTGAGGTCGCGCAAATCCCCATGCATCTGCAGAATTCGCCTCCTGCTTATATCTTACTTTTCCTTTCGAATCTTTCTTTCATTTTGACTTTTTCCCCCGATCCCGTCTCTTTTTGCAAGCTTTTGTGAATCAGCTTTGACGAGCCCTCTTGCTGTTGGGCATTGTAAATCCCCGCTCGTCTACATCCCCTTCCTCATCAACATCCAAACATCCTCGGCTTCCCTTGCGCGCGTTCTGCATCATCGCCATCCGACTGTACTGATCCTTCATCGACATTAGAACCGGGACGGACTTGGAATGTTGGTGGTGGGGGTGCTGCATGACTCCGCGAACGCTTTCCCTGCCGCCAACGCCGCCGACACCTCCGGCGCCTGCACCCATCATCGATCTGGGTACACCGCTCGAAACAGATGGGCTTTGCTGCAACGACAACGACGACGATGACGGTCTCGTAGTCGTGGAAGATGAAAACGAGGCTGTAGCCGCCTGGACTGCAGCGGAAGGGTGCCGACTATCGAACCAATCCCTGCTGCAAAAACTGCCACCGCCGACCACGACGCTGCCGTGGGTGCTGCTGAAGCTGCTATCAGCCGAGGTGAGCGCCTCGTCGTCGTCGTACTGATCGTCATCGTCGTACTCGTACTCGGCCACAGCGTGTTGTTGTTGGCCTTGGGTTTGGACCCGGTACTGGTCTTGACGTTGCTGTTGGGAGGAAAGAGCGAATAGCTGTGAGCTGGTCGGGTGGTGGCCCGAACTGGTATTGGGCCGGGATGTGGGGCTGGGACCGGATGTAGGGCTGGGACCGGATGTGGGTGAGGAAGTCCGGAAAGCCGAGGATGGGTCGGGGCCGGTGGCAATAACGCCACGGAGAATCAGGGTCGCTGCTTTTGCGCTTATCATGTGGTCCCGGTTGGGACCATGGAACCCGGAGGAGTGCGGATGGCCGTGACCGTGGCCGAAGCCGGGCCCGAGGCCATGCTGGTTTTGGTGGTGTTGCTCCCTAAGCAGACCGTTGAGAAGCTTGGACATAATGAAGATTTTTTGAGAGGCAGGTAATTGACGGTTGACTCGGACTTCGTGTCTGCGATGGTTGTCGAGAGGGTCGTCAAATTTGATAAGGTGCTGAGACGATGTTCGGTTTGGGGATAAGTGAGGGGAAAGTGGGTTGGTTGCCTGGGCGCCGTCCGGGCTCCGTTCACCTCTTTTGATATGCGGCTCGACGTGATACTATTCGTACATCCGTCGATGGAAGGACCAGGCTGCGACGTTTATAATAATATTGCAATGGTATCGTGTTGACCCAAGACTGGATCTTCACAGCCAACGGATGCGGTGCGGTGCGATATCGGTTGGTTACGGGATTTGATGGACGATCGAGTGACGTGGAGATAATGGAAGGTTGAGGATGCTGAGTGGTTTGAGTGGTGACGGGAGTGGTACGTTAATTGGTAGAGAGAAAAAAGGGATTGTTGCGCCAGCGCCAAAGCCCAAAGAAAAAGGGTGAATATTGCCCTGTGTTTCCTACAGACGTAGTGTTACCAGACTGAATGAGATGGTCTTCAGTCGTGGAATGGCAGTTGAGGATGAATGGGAGATGAAATTATTCTGAAACTTGGTGCAAGGGAGGAAAATTCCTGTTGCGAGCTGGAGTGCAGGATGACGGCAGCTGTGTTTGTGAACCCGCCAGCTCGCGTCAGCTCGACTGGAGTCGGCGGGACGATGGACGGTCTAGCGCAGCTCAGCCGGCAGGGAGCATGCTTGTTAGTGCCAGTTAGTACTCCTCACTTGCAGTGCTGTACAGCTGGCGGGGAGAAGTGCAGGCGGCTAACAATTCTCGAACAACGCGGATGCACTTTGTCAGAGTGACACTGTCACAGGGCAACGCAGCAACGCATCCAACTCAATACCTGAGCGGCATCCACATCAATAGAGTGTCATGGAGGAGGTGACAGGAAGATGATCAAACCCAGCCATTCACTGGAAAAGCCATGGCATCAGATGTCATTTCGTACTCCTCTCCGCAACCCGTCCAAGTTGTCCGTCCAAGTTGTCCGGCCATGCCTTGATCAATCACGGTTGTAACCATGGATTGCTTGGCTCATGGCGTGCGTCGGTGGCATCCCGTCCCCCCTCCTGAATATCATACCTGAAAATTGCCTTAAACGCCGTCCCTGGGGCGGGCATGGCGGGCTCCTGCGCCGTTTCAGCCAGGGCAAGGCCGTGACCCCTTTTGTATGCACTCGCACTCGCAACTCCAGCCTTCCAGCCAGCCAAAGCAGAAGCGCCAGTGGCACGCAACCCGGAACGACGGCGTGGCAGGGCAGCCAACGATTCCTTCATCCCGACGGGTTTGATGTTCTGGATCTTCCCGGCCTGTTCGGTCGAATGTCGCTCGTGTGGCCATGCGACGGTGAAGTTTAGATCCCTCAATTGTGCGTAGTGTGAGGCAGTATGACCTGCACTGGTTCAGCGGGCGGCGCGGGCATTGTTGTAAGAGTTCATGCTCCATAGCAAACGGAACTTGGATGGATGACGGATGCAATAGAAGTGGCACTTGGCGTCGCATCGGCGGGCTCAGTCATCAGCTCATCAGTGCTTCCTCAGGCAGACCTGTTACGGACGGGGCGACGGGTTTGCCGCCAGTGTGAAATGAAGGATCGAATCCACGGCGAAATGCGTGATGGTGGAAACCGTGGGAATGGATTTTGAATTCGCCTAACCGAATGCTTCCTTGACTCGCGTTTTGTGTTCAGCTGCCGTCGTCCACATAACCGAATTCGAGTTCGGGATCACCCCAAGGATATGAAGAGGAGAGTGGATTGAAATGTGGAAAAAGGTTTAGCCAAAGATGCGGAGATATTTGTCCTTCTCGGAAATGTTTTGCATCTCATTTTATCCTTGATTGAAAAAATGTACAACAGGTTCAGTTGTCAAAAGAGAGTTGTGAATGGAGATGAAGGTGCGAGATGGGAGGTGTTTGAGATCAAAAGACCCAAGTCTTTCAGGTGCAATGGCCTCATATCGCAGCAGGAGCCAGCGGGTGCTAGCACTGCAGTGCGGCAGGTGCGGCTGCTCCCAGGCGAGCCAGCGCAGGCACGCCAGGAGCTGCCGAGAGTCGAGATCCACCCTAAACGTCACGGCTTTCCACGGCAATCGCATCTCGGTTTTTTTTGTTCGTCATCCGACAATCTTCCCCGAGCTCCTTCCCGCAGCTTGTCAGATTGACCATGTAGAATTGATTGATTGAGTGATCTGTGTGTGCGACTGTGCCGGAAGGTTGGGGGATGCTGGAGATACTTAGAAGGGGGTCCCTAATAATTAGAAATTAGATAGTTGGGAGGCTAACTTCAAATAGCTAGCTATAAATTTACTTACAAATTTAATTTACCCTCTTACTTAAATGCTTTTTGAATAAGGCAAACGTAAAACCATTTACAAATTAATTAATTTATTTTCTTTCTTTTGAAATTGGAATTTCTTTAATAAAGTTATAAATGTCCTTTAATAAATTATCCTTAACTTTTACGATTTTATTACTAATTTTAGGGGATGTGTTTGCTATTTTTACTAATTCTCGAAAGGTTTT